TGAGGGATATGTAGGTAAATTACCTTGGAGTACCCTATCTGTGTCCGACTTAAGATACCTTTATAGTTATACCCAAAGTCTTCCTTCAAAAATCAACGAAATCAAGGCATTCATTTCACACCGAAAGCCTGGTATTGCTGCCATACCAGAAACGTGGCTTAGAACACAAATCACGGATTCCGGGATTTCGTTGCGGGCAAAGCAACTAGGTCGGAGAAAGTGGCAGGTTTCTCAAGACGCGAATTGCCGCAAACGCGGCAGCAGTGCGGGAAATACGCTTATTCTCAGGTTGCGGCTCATTCGACGAGGCCCAACCACACATTTAAATTTGATGAGGCCGAACTTCTCGCAAGAGTTGACAATCGAGTGAGCCGAGAATTACTTCAGTCATGGTTCGCGGGCCTCCAATCCATCAACAAGTGCAACGATTTGCCCAATCCATATTCGATGCTGAGGCTAAATTTGGCCAAAGCAAATCGCCGCTCGGAGAACAGGCAGGCCACCACCTCATCTTATGCCAGTACCGCAAAGCCAGACCGTCATTGCTGACACAACGAATCAGCGCACACTCAAGGCATTTTTCGATTTTTTCTATGCGTTTAAATTTTACGGCAAAACCCTGTGCACACACAAACTGTTTCTGTTAATGTTCTGTGAGTATGTCTCTGATGCTGAATCTGCGACTGATTTTGAAACGTAAGGCGAATAAGCATATTGTTCCAGCGATCGAGTCGTCTACTCCCTCTCAACTACTTCCTGGGACTAGCATGTTCGCTTGTATTAGCGAGTATAATGTCCCCACCACCAGACTGCCTTCCACGGCATGAAAAACCCTTCGTCAGCATCCTCAGCGAGAACACAACCACCATTAATCTGTCATAGCATTTACACGATAGGCCTGTCGTCTACAATTCTGACAGTCCCGGCATCTATCTCAGATGTCCGTAATTGATGCTTTGAAGGCTCGGTTGCCCACATCCGAGTTACTAATAATTACCTGTACTTGCGAAGGTCTAAGACAACGCTGGATGATAGCAACTGCGGTCTCCCTTGTAACAGCAACTCCTTCAAAACGCTGGCACGCAACATGAATGCTGTCTATGCCTGCCCGTTATGTCGAGACCTCATTCCACAATGCGCACGTGAAGCACCGGTTAAGGTCACGAACACGTATTCACGCCTTTCATTGTTCTCACTGGCGAGCCTTCATCTCTGCCCAGCAGGTTCACGTCTCTCTTTGCTCTGACGGGCTACCCTTCAGCCTCTGACGTTTAAAACCCGCCATAAATCCCTCTTTGTTAACATTTGTCACTTGCACTTGTCGCCGTCCTCGGTAAATATCCTGCCTACAAGCTGCCTTTCAATCTTCAAGAAATAGCAACAAGTATGGTAGCATTGGTAATGGAGAGTTCAAATAAACACTGACAGTCTAACAATGTATGGCGAAAACTCAAACACGGCCTCTACCGATCCCTCGGGCCCGAACAAATTGCACAAGCGCGCTCAAAAGCAGTGTAACTCACGCACTGGCCAATATATTTTTTTCGAGATTTCACCGCAGTGGGCTCTTCGATACAGTTTGAAAAGTCTTCTGCAGAACAAAGCAACGGCCCTCTCTGCTTCCAGTCCATAGGACGATCAAGATCATCGAATCACTCCTGCAGAGCAAATAAGATTGAGCGCTGAATTGACTCGAACACGCCAACCTCGGATATTTTGACCAGTGAGTCAATTCACTTCCGATGGAATCATTTGCGAGTGAATGAGAGGCACACCAATTAATCCACCGATTTCTTGACCTACAACCGAGTCTGTCTTGTAACGGGGGAAGTTACGGTTCTTCCAACTCAATAAACCCATGTAAAATATGTACACATTCAAAGAACACGTCAACGCCGTCTTCTGGGTCACATAATTCACAATGGAGAAGAAAAACAACCAGCCGGCTTACATTGAGGCCATCGTCACGAAGATTTTGCTTGCTCTGGAAGGCAACAAGTCTGAAGCAACTATTGTGCTGCAACATGAACCACTCAATGCGCACATGTGGATTGCAGGAGAAAAGAGTTGCTGAATTACAGTGCCATGAACGGATGCTAAGAATGAATTTAGTTGACCCAATTGTGAAAATTTCGCGGCCTTGGTGGGAATCGAACCCACAGAGCAGGGAAGGCATTTGCGCACCCAACGCTCTAACGTTGAGCTACGACGCTCACCGTGTGCCGTGAATTTAATCACACTCGGGTCGATTTTACCCGCCCAACGTACCACTCGTATGGAATCCACCATTACGGAATAGCATGCTGACTGCCCAGGCAGGATTTTCTAAGCAATCATCTAGAATCCACCAGAATGACTACTAAGCTCACTTAATTGTTAGGGGATTGGTAGATTCGCTTAATTCAGTGTATCAAATTCGCGGCGCACGGTAAGCCTCGTAGCTCAATGGAAGAGCGTTGGCCGCGCAAAAACCCTCCCTACTGTGTGAGTTCGACTCCTATCGAGGACGCTAATTGTTCACAATTGGATCAACTGATTTAAGCGAGTCTACCAACCACCCTAACAACTAAGAATATTAGTCAACTGGCTGATTGACAAGCGAGGCCATAATAAAAGTTCGTACAGGCCCTGGCGTGTGTCTAGGACACTTTGGAAGCCGTCCTACCCGGAGGTGAGATTGCACACAGACAATCGGCAATAACAATGTGGCCAAAAGTCCGCCGCCACAGCAAGAAGCGTCGGTAACAGCGTCTGGTGCAGCAACCGTCGTGGACGCGGGTGTCTGAACACGCAGCGGCAGCGAGCATGAATGACGTCAATCTTCAGGCTGCGGCCAAATACTCAGCTTCCATGAGTCCGAAATTCCACCAATAGTTTGCAACCGCATGATTCACGGGTTCTTCGCCTGGTAGTCTATCAAGAAGGTAAGTGACGATTTCCCGCCTCTCCCTCTTCCATGTTCAACACTCGCACCTAACTTAGACTGGTAAAACGCGGGCGAACACCGTTCTCAATGACAGTAGCACAACATCATACTCGTTCTACCAAAAATAGACATCAGCTTTAATGTTCGCATCTCTTCCACCCGGTTCCTCGCTAAGACACCTCCACAACTGACACCTCACAACTAAAAATTACAAAGAAGTATTCGGTCTTAAAAGCTTCAGCAACCGCAATACATTAATGTTTAGAAAGCCAGCACACACTCTTGCACGCATATATCAAAAAAGCGATGGTCAGTAGGCCTCAACGGACAGCGTTTAATTCACAAAAATGCAGTGCTGGGCACGCGCTCGGGTATCGATCACCTTAATGCTCATACTGCTAACTCCAAGGAAGAGCGCACTAGGAGGAGGGAGGGCCGAATGGAAGGCTGGTTGTATACAAACGGAGATGGGAAACTCCTCGCGGGGGAAAGAGGCGGTCGTTGATGGTTTGAAAGGGGCAGCCAGTGTGGATAGGTATGTGTGTACAGAGATTCTTGATTAATTGGAGGAGGCTGCAGTGAGCACGAGGAGGGCCCGAAAAACGCGCTAGATGCCCAGCAGGGAGTAGACTTTGTCGTCCGGCTTATCAGCCGACCGACCACCGACCCGTTCTGCCTCCTCCGGCGGAAGGAAACTCTTCTGGATGGGGTCAAATTCATCCCTACCCACCTCCACTTCCGGTGGCTGAATTGGCGAGGCCGGTGTGAAGGCAGTGGCTGGGGGCAGTGGCGCCATACGCGGGTCGTGGTGTTGGTGGTGAATCATGTCATCCATGTGTCGAGGATGCATGAGCGTCGAGGACATTGGCGATGGACGGTA